AACAGAGAGAGAGGGAGCGCGAGAGAGAGACAGGGAGAGACAAAGAGAGAGAGAGAGAGAGAGAGACACAGAGAGAGAGAGAGACAAAGAGGGGGGAAAGACACACACACACAAACAAACAATCACACACATACACACAAAGAGAGAGACAAAAAAAAACCACTGTGTGTGTATTTGGTTGTGTGTGTGTGCGTGTGTGTGTGTGTGTGTCTGTGTGTGTGAGTGTGTGTGTGTGTGTGTGGGAGAGAGAGAGAGAGAGAGAGAGAGAAAGGGAGAGAGTATGCTAGTATAGAAAAGGACTTTTATGACACGGGAAGCACAAAACAACACACACAACCCAACAACAACATAAACTGGCCTACTAAAAGTACAAAATTTATCAAAAATAAATCTGAAAAGACAACATGTCAAAGCACAAATGTAACACGGATTGTAAAACAAACAAACAAACAAACAAACAAACAAACAAACAAGCAAATATAGATCTAATAAGAAGACGGTGGACAGAATTTTTAAAAACAATAACTATCATGATTAATAAAATAAAACATGAACTGTGATCCGAGGCGGGAATAATCCAGACACTGCAATTTTAAAAAAAAAAATATATTAGCAACATCAACAACAAGAAAAACATGATTGGGGTACATTTTACACCAAAAAAAGGTGTCGAAAAGTCAGAAATGTAACAATTTATAAATAAGGCAAGGAGCATAAAGTAACAAGAATGATAAGGGATAATGACGGTGGGGATTGGAAAGGAGGTGGGGGCGGGGAGGGGAAGCAAAATGGAATGTCAGAAACTGGAGCAGGGTTGACACCTACAGTATCCCTAACTATCTCACTATCAGATGGCTCTCTCTCTCTCTCTCTCTCTCTCTCTCTCTCTCTCTCTCTCTCTCTCTCCCCCACAAAAAAAAATAATCAATCAACCACACACCCACTAAGGAAGGCGAACTGCATTCTGAACAAGGGGCAGAAACATTACAGAAGGTTACAGAAAGGCATGGATATAACAAAAATAGTAGCATACAACGAGCCTTCCTTTTAAGATGAACACAGGAATGAGGCGTGAGAATATCATAAAGAGAGAACGAATTGTTATATCAGAGGCTGTGTGTCTTAAATGGGGGTTATAAAGCATGAATTAAGATTTTACAGAGTACAAACTTTACTGGGTTTTCACGAAATATTGAAGAGCTGTGCAAGGGTGGAACAAAAGTCATTACACATATTTTATACTTTTGGAGAGGGTCGTCAGATTATAGAAACAGGAAAGATATATAATGATACAATGTGACGTATTAATGGAGAATACTTTCAGCATTTATCAAAAGACATATATCAGGGTTGCATATGAGATATATGAGATAATATCAAGGTAGAAAGATAGTTGTTCATTTGGTAAGACAAGATAAGAAATATGAAGTTGTACTTGAAAGTAACCATTGCTGCATCCTATTGCAGTAAAATCCTGCTCTCATACCCAGTGAAATACTTATAAAAGAAATCACCAATAGCAGGCAACATAGAGCATCTGAGCAGTTGATGACGTCATTCCCTTCATGACAGACAAAGAAAAGGTACGTGAACCTTGCATGATCTACGCATGTGTCAGCCCACACTCTCTACCTTTAGTGATAGAGTCTGTAGTTTGATCTTTTTCAGAAAATACTGGATAAAAAATTGAGCTGTAACAACAGTTCTACATATTCAATATATAAGAAAACATACTGTGAGAGAAGGAAAAATAATGAGTTATCAAAACAAACAGCTTTCTGAAGAAACATGTAAAAGAACCGATGCAAAAAAGAGGATCAGGTGGAAAGTGAAAAAAGCCCCCTCCCGAAACCCTAAATACACCCTCTATAGAATTATGGTTTTCAAAAAAGCTAAAACAAAAGAAATAAAAGAAAACAAAACTGTTAGGCTAAGAAAGGCTAAAATTCATTTCCCAAAAAAAACAAAAAAACATTTCTATCTGAACATGCAGTGGTCAAATCAAGTCTTCAATACTCAGTGGCCCCTTGAATGAATGAGACCAATCAAGATTTCTAATAGTTGTATTTGTATAATCAAAAAACTAAATAGTATCTTTGACTGAATCAAGTTAATCACAGATCTGTTCACTTTGCTGATTTTTTCTTTTTTTTAATTTTCAAGGGAAAACTAATAAACCTTATTCATTACACTGAGCAAGATGTCTCCGCCCATTCTTGTACAATCTAAAGTACCGATATATTTACAGCAAATTCTTGAAGGGAGCCACTGAAATGCACATTCAAAGGAGGTAAACTTTTCTTTTGTGGGCAAAGAATGTGTAAGCAGACGTGAAAAGTGGACACAAAAAAATTACTGGTTTGGACTGGGGACAGGTGCAGATGGGATTTTTAAAAAGCCCTGGCTGTGAACAAAAATCAAACACACCATGACAGAAGTGACCTGAAAAAAAAATAATTAAAAAAGCAAAAGAATGAAGCAAACTTGTCAAACCAAACTCAATGGACACCAACTTGCCACAATACTGGTCCAAACTTACCGTTGGGGTCTGCACTGGAGAGGAACTCCGTCTCTGGCAAGTAGGAGCTCACGGCCACGCCCTTCTCGCGGAAGTATTGGTCAGCCTCGCGGTCAACTACCAGGAGACGGGTCTGGCCCGGCACTTCCTAATGATGCAAGGTAGTAGGAGGGACAAAAAAAAGGGTATTTAGTTAAAAGTAACAAGTTGAATGAGTATCCTAAGAATTAAGTGGCAGGATAGAATAAGAAATGAAGAGCTGTGGGAAAGGACAGGACAAAAGGATATACAAGTAGAAATAGGACTAAGAAAGTGGCGATGGATGGGACACACTTCAGAAAGCCCAGCAGAAACATCACAAGACAGTCGCTGCAGCAGAAACCACAGGGAGCACGAGGCAGGGGTAGGCCACGGGAAACATGGAGGAGATGTCGTGTGGAAAGGGACATGAGAGAGATGAAGCTCACTTGAAACGAGCTAGGAAGGATGACCAAGGACAGAGATAAATGGAATGAGCTTGTATGTGGCCTATACCCTGCCAGGGGTGGAAGACATTGATGATGATGATGATGAACAAGGAGATTACCTGCAAGATAACGGTTATTTTATGCTGTGCAAAAGACAAAGAGGAAAAAAAAACATACATGGGTGGGGGAGGAAAGAAGTTTGACTCGCTTCCTTCTCCAAATCTTACTGTTTGTTATCAATCTTTTTCTCCTTTCGGTCCTCCTCCGGTAATCACTTTCCATCATCATGTTTCATCACATGTTTTCCCCCTCCTCTTCCTCCTCTCCCTCCTCCTCTGGTCATTACAATACACTATGTTCCTCCTCCTCTTCCTTCTCCTCCTCTAGTCATTAATATATTATGTTCCTCCTCTTCCTCCTCCCCTTCCTTTTATCATTATATCAACCAATAACTTTCTCCTCACCCCTTCCTCCTCCTCCTCCTCCTCCTCCTCCTCCTCTTGTCATTCTATACACCATTATGTCCCTCCTCAAAAAGTTCCTCCTCCTCCTCCTCATAATCATCATCATCATCATCATCATCATCATCATCATCATCATCATCATCATCAACATCATCATCCTGTAGTCATCACATCACCCCGGCCCACCGCTCACCTTAATGCGTGAGATGACCTCAGTGTGGGTCTGTTGCTCAATGTTCACGCCGTTCACCTCCACAATGCGGTCATTGACCTTGAGGCCGGCGGTGCTGGCGGGGGAGTCGTCGTCCACCAGGCCGATGTATTGGCCAGGCTTGTCCCGCTCGGCGTGCAGGTTGAACCCATAGCCCTGGTTTAAAAAGAGAGAGACAAAGTTTTAGTAAGAGTTTTACAGCCCTTGCGACTCAATAGGGACATGTAAGTGCTGAAGATCACATGTGCTACAAAAGAGCAACAAACGCAAAAAGAGGACAGATCAAAATGAACGATGTGTGGTAGCAAAGAAGAAGCAAACTACAACAGACCACCCGCCAACAACCTACAAAAGGTGAAGGAAAAAAATGAAAAAAAATTCAAAAAGAACGTAAGAATGTTGGTGTCTTTAGCTTCCCCATCGACAGGATTAATTAGATAATTTAAGAGGCGGGCTTCCCAGACCCTGCCTGGCAAGACCAACCCGGGCTGAGAATGACACATCATCCAAGGAGACAGACCGAGAAATAAAAATTCTCCCCACTTCGGAATCGTACTCGAGAATCGAATTAGGGCCTCCTGTGGCAACAGCAAAGCACCTAAACGCTACACCATCGATCGTTTGATGGAAAAGAGGGACAAAACCACACTAGAGCACCCGCCAACCATCCAGACAGACAGACAGACAGACAGACAGACAGACAGACAGACAGACAGACAGACAG